CTTATCGTGTGCACATCATGCACAAAAGCCATTACAAAGTATGCTTTTTTCTGCACAACACAGGGCACTCCCGTCCGTAAGCATCCGCCGAAGAAAAGTTTCAAAACATCTTGCCCCTCACAACCACTTTTGTGAGCCTCTATACGACGTGGCGAGTAATGTGGTTTGGGCTTACTGTACACGTCGGAGTAATTTCTTGTCTCAAGCTCCCTCTTTCCCGCACTCCCATGCATTACCTGCTGACACTCAATTATTTTTGCTCAATCCACTTTGTCGCTTCTTGATCATGCAGCAAGGGACAGCCGCATCTTCTCCCTCTCGCGACCGGAAACGCAGATATTCGGTCTTGTCCAGCTGCGCGGATCGGTAGAAGTTAGACGGCTTCAACCACACATCACGTCATGATTTAGCCATGCCAACTAACGAAATATTTGGATAGCACTATGTCAGATGATTCCTCTTCGTTGGGCACCCATGGAAAAATACTAACAGTAATGTGTAGGAATGCATAGTTAAAAGTAAACCTTAAAAATCAGTGCTAGATCACGAGTGTCTCTTGACTCAAAAGTATCTTAAAACTTCTTCATACAAAACAAATGATGTATTTTGGCAGGCATGACCATATCTGACATAATTATGTAGAAAAGAAGAAATTGTCGCTCGTAACACTGATTTAGGCGAGTGAGTGAGTGAGTGTTTATTGTCCTAAAAAGTCCATCACTATGTAAGGGCATATAGGTCCTTTCTGCCCACAGGCCGGGAGTATATATGCCTCGGGTAGTATACCCCCTCCTTTGCCTCCCTCACGACTTCTTTCCATCAGTAATACCCCCACAGGTCTTCATTCGAGTACACACTAAGAGGAGCCATTATCCCGTCATTATCTCCCCTCTCCAGCCAACTAAACGATGGCCATTTGCGGGTGTGAAGCTGCTAGGAAAAGTCTCAAAAACTACTGGGTGCGGGGCTCTCCTATGATGAAGAAGCCGGCCAGCCGGGCGCGGCAGACCTGTGTATACCTAAGAGTGTCTCTCAACCTTCCTAGCCTCCTCCTTACTCCTCCCCTGATTCATGCCGCAGGACAAGTCGAAGGTCGTGAAAGGATGTCAGAAAAGTCTTGGTCGAGAGTGACAGTCGTGAAGGAGCCTAGCCTAGCATCCAAAAGTCGTTACGGACGTGGGGTCGTCAAGTAACTAATGTATTTCAGATGACCTCCTGTCTAGTAGATTCGGAGGTATAGATTAGTAGGCATGATATTTTTGACGAGTCGAAATCTGCTTTTCCTGAGGGCGGAAGGGTCTTTTACTTTGCTTTCGTGGGCTTTTTGTTCGCCCGCCGGTAGGTAGCACATGTTGTGATATAACGAGGGCTTCTCTGACTACCGTTGTAGCGTTTGGTAGCGCATTATCTTTCCTTATTCCCAGCATCATTATCGTCGTCTTGGTCCTTTTATGTGTTATCGGAAGCGTATCTTTGACAGAGGGGGAGATAACTCAACTCAAAGTTGACAAGGTGTTACTCAATCTCGGCTCTGCAGACTCTGCAGAATCTACAGTGAGAGCTGGAGGTTCGTAGGGGACACCACTGACAGGTGTTGAGAATAGTCCCCAACACTGATTTAGGTCTCGTAGTTACTTTTTTCCTTCGCAATCCACGAGTCCTAACTATCACTTTTGCTTCAGCTCTTCAAATTGTAAGGTCTAATCAAATTATAATCAAGAAATAGACTTTCCTACGACTCCATGTTTGATTTTGAATGCCCCCCAAGCCACAAGACTTTTGTTCCAGAGCCTGTAAGCGTCGAAGCTGTTGGAAATTGAGATAGTGTTTTGGAATCATGTACCCTCCATTTCGTCTAGGTCCGCAACACAATGTTTTATCTGGTATAAGAAATGGAGTCTATAAAAAGGTAGCGCTTAAGGCTACTAATTTGATACAAGAGCGGCGGTACGGCGCACGCATAAGTAGTTTATTGGAGATTTATATACCTAGATAATGCCACAATCGATAATGTTATAGCTTAGGCTTTGTCTGTTGCCTACACTTGTTCTCAAAGCGCACATTTTCCATTAATTTAAAGTAGTCTGAACTTGACGCTTCTTCTTCAACTTCTTCTTTCGCTCCAGGAATATTGCGCGAGAAAATGGGTATAATATTTTCAAATGAAGCAAGCTTACACAAATGCAGCAAGGAGTTGCGAATATTAGATACTTCTGAATAGAGGATGATAACAGACATGAAAATGGTTACCTCTAATAGTGTTGATGCTGATTTAACGGCAAGGCTAGGGTCACAACAGAGTCAGTCATACCCTCGAAGTCTTTAGGAGCGACATCATGGTCCCCTATCCACAATTGATTCGCCCCACTCACGACCGAGTAGCAGTAAACACCTTCATTTCGACTCGCAATAGCTTGATAAAGGCATGATATGGCAGTGTGCTGTGAACGGGTCTCCCTTAGCGTGGCCTTCACAGTTGCGAGAAGGATAATACACACTTTCCCACGAGTAGTATCTGAATCGACATCCATGGCATGCCTATCTTTTATCAGCAATGTATCACCTAAGCATTCCTGTGATCGTCTATGAAGGATGAGTCTTCTCATACTTTAGCTAGATAAGGGTTATACCAATGAACAGTAGTGCCCTCTATCTATTGCTGTCCCAGATAGGCAGTATAGTTGCTATCATGTTTTATCTTTGCAAGCAATCAGATTAAATAATTTCAATAAATTACACCGAGGCATGACGAGGGCAACGACATTTTTCCACTGCGATAAAGGGTATTATTTGAAATCACGAGACTAAGTGAATCAGGGGTCAAACGAGGGAATAATAATGTTTTCTCGTGAACTGTACCTACAAAGGTATGACTGGTAGATAGCTAGAAGGCGAATGGGGATAAGAGGCGCAGAATACTGAGGGCGAGCTTGTTTTTCAGGGAGCCCAACAAGACAGCAAAGGGCTGCTTGAGATGCCATTACTACTCTAGCATACCCGTTTTTTTACTCACTCGCCAAGCCATGGAGAGAAATGGCTCTCGACGTTTCAGGCTAGAAGGCAACTCCTTTGTGGGCTGTGAGGGTAGTAGTGTCAGACATTGGGATGTGCGAAGGAGTGACATGGAGACGGCCTGGACACCCTCAACGCTTTCCCGACCAGGATACGGATAGCAGGGGTAGCAACGTGTCACGCAGTTAGACCTTTGGCAAGGTGGTGAGCCGTGTCAACTCTAGAAGACGGTTAGAGTAATTGAAGTGGTTTCTGCCAACTTTCGTCTCATCCACCTCTTTCTCAACTTAACCTTTTGCATCGACAGGTCTAGCCGGGAAGGGCTAGACGCGCCCAAAATAAGTAACATTAACCTTTCTTATCCCCACCGCCACGTCTGCAGGCCCAGATAGCAACTCAATCTCTTGATCTCTGTCATGGCGGTGTGGGGATATGACTACAGCCGTTTAATAGCTGTTCTATGAAGAGCTGAGAGCATCGAATCCATTCGCGCGGAACCTGAGACGCCAGCCCGAACGAAAGAGTACTCAAGGGCTTGGTTCGTAACAACGTGTCTAGCAGTCGAATTCCAGACAGCTATGGCTCCCACAGTTCGAAAAGTTCTTCTGGCCATGTAATTTTCAACACTGAGAGAGGGGCACTTTTTACCGCAGTCTCGAGCTTTGTCAGAGGACCTAATATGTCGGCTGGAGCTTTGAGTTTCCGGTACGCACGTTGCGCTGTTTCCGGGATGGATTCTCGCTTATTTATACCTAAGGTGCCTGTCACTATACCTCAGGGTTGAATGTGGTGGCACCATTAGACCCTCGAAAAATTGAGTCCAATCTTAGTTGCCTATGCTCTATTCGGCAGAGACTTTGTCGACGCAATTGTTCTAGCTGGGCGTCCTGTGACTGTCGTGGTCTAAAATTTCGGACGTCGCGGTGTTTTCGAGCTCAAAAAGCTGACTTTACCATGAGGGACCAGCTCACAGGGTGGATGGGATCAGACGCGAGCATTATGAGGATCTAGGGGATGTTGCGGTAGATTGCCCGCTGGTCCCTTTCTCACTATATGTATTTTGGGAAGATAGTGGAGCCGTTGTGGGCCTACACAGGCCAGCTTTGTCGGTTTAATCGTGGATAAGTCGTAGGAGAAATGCTTTTTGTCGCTGTTGCAATGGTGGAAGGGGGGACAGCACCCGAAGCGGGTTGAGGGAATCCATAAGCCTTTGCTATGAGCATAATCATGCATCCTTATCCTGACAGTGAGCTGAGATGATGGAACGGGATCTACTGCCGTCATGGCCGGTGGGATAGAGGATGGGGCAAGGGAATTTGGGGAAGATGGAATAGAAGGGGGGAATCTGGAAGACTGGAGCTAGTGCATATCAATCTATCGGCAGCCACCTAAGGCGCGCCCACAGGATTCTTGGAACCGTCAAGCGAGCCACCAGCGCCAGGCCGAGATCGCCAATGACAACAGACTAGTCTAATACCGTGCGATAGCAAGAAATCCGTGTTGAGTCACCGACAGAGAAAATGTCAAGTGCAACGGCAGCCGGGTGCACGACGAATCTCCACACCAAGTCACCACCCACACTGTTCCAGGCCCGTCGCACCACGCCGCCTCATCAAGCAACCCATGCTCTTCTCGCCCGGCCCAAATGTCTCTTGTAACTGCGTTCGCAGCAAGCGAGTTGGACGACAAAAACTCCCTCCATTATTATTTCCCTTGTCCAACCGCTATCGTCTTGGAGCCATGGAACCCGCCAGAGCGAGACGATCCAAGTCACGCCCTCTCGCAATCACGCTGGCTTGAGTATGGACCCCTCCCTCCCTGCTAGGGGCGTGTCGCCTCCATCACCTCATACCCCATGATTTCTGCGTCGGAGTCCAGAGACACACCATATATCATTGCGCAGCTGTTCCTCAATTCTCTTTGTTTTTATCTGTCGCTGTTATCCTCTCTCACCCGATTTGTTTTACGCCATATTTCATAGTCTCATCATGCAATCATCGAGTTCATCTATCCAATCGGCTCGAAAACAATCGACAGGCCGCCATGCTGGCATGGTGACGCCTCCCTCGACGCGCACATCCGACGACTTCAAGAAACAGCATCGCCGCAAGTCGAGCAAAGATCAGAGCTTGTTGGAAAGAAAAGTACGACGACCATCGGCAAATCACAAGATGCCTGGGCAGAGCCTCTCAAAAGGGACAACTGCCGGTCGTCCTGCCACTTCTACAACTGCTGCCGCTACCGCTGCGTGCAAAAGCGTGCGTACGGCTAAGAATGAAGAACCTGCATGGGACATGGAGGCATTTCCTCAGTTCTGGTGAGTTAGTCTGCAACTCATAGGTGCCAGCCAGCCTAATGTCAACAGTATGACGTGTGAGAAGCAATTCCTCCACTCACAGACAACCTTGCTATACTGCTCTGACAGGTAGGTCCACGGCCCGCTACCCCTGGGGATCGAGCACTCTCAATAATACTTTCTCCAGGTGTCGTCTGCGAGACCAGCTGGCGCTATCTAATATCACATCTTCGCGCTTCATCTACAACGACTACATGCCAGCTACAAATCTTCGAACTGAAGGTCCAGATATTCTTCCTCGATATTCGCCGACTCCGTCTTACCCAGCTCCCCATCGTCCGGCTTCTAGCCCTAATCAAGCCTTAGAGTCTTTGCGCTCTCTTGCTACGGCGCTGCCCCGTGTCAAAGATAGCTCGTCCCCATCGGTGCCCCGTTCCCGAGCAGGCTCTGGATTCTGGAGCCACGCGTCCTTCACAGCCAAAGCCACTGTCAAACCGGGCCTTGAACCCTCTCCCCCTGCTTACATTGTTAGTCAAGGCCATGGCCCAGTATTAAGTGTCAAGAATCTTGGATCCAAAACGGACTATTTTGCTTCGTATTCTGGGTATATGAACTCGAGGAAATGGGACACTCTTACGGACACAAATCGGCCCTTACCTAAAAAGGTTGCTACAGCTGGCTGTGGCCAACGATCGCGCAGTATCGATCTGATTACTCCTTTGGGAATATAAAGATCTGAAGGCTTGGTGCAAACATCTGGAAAAGCAATCATGGACTAAATTTAAGCACGCATGGCGTTTGGCGGAACGGAGGGTTGAGATGTATCGGTTTTATGTATAATGTAATCTTACCATATTTTAATAGGTTGATAAATGATGCACCGGATGCCAGGTATTAACCCATCTATACCCAAGTTTTTTCATGACTCTATCGAAATTTGACAATTGCGGATGGGAGACTGACCAACAGTGTTGCGTTCTACCAGGACCTGCAAGATGATCAAAAAGCCTGTGTCCTCGAACAAAAAGCTACGGCACCTTTTGATACGTACAAGTCATCCTGAGGTGTATATGTCGTGGTTTTCTGCTAGACAATATTTCCCGCTTAATGCAAGGCAATGCAAGGCGATGCAATGCACTGCTTTTCCCCGATCAAATTTCTCCGAAGTTGGGCAACATGTCTGATCATCAATAATTATTCTATTCCTGGAATTCAAATTTGACTTCAATATCCCGATTTGGTGCCCTATGGGCCCATGCTGGTGTCTATGGACTGTAATATTTACACGGGAGGCAACCTTTATGAAAACCCCCAGACTCTGTTTTTTATATTTGGTATTCACATTTGTTCTCCAGAAGGCACAGTTACACTATCGTGCGATCCATGTAAGCCAACCACATCCTCACTGTCGACTATTTCAGGAATTAAATAAACAGTTGCGTATTCTACTATGCTGGACTAAATCATCAATGCCTCATAGATCCTCATACCATAGATTTAATTCACAAATACCTTTTCACGGTATCTTTGTTTGCACAGCTTGACGAGCCCTCGCATATGAATATTCACCAACGAGGAATTCAGAACGCTTAGATTTTCTGGGCAGGCTTTGATCATCCAACCCAAGTCATCGATAGAATGTGGTCAGGCCTCACTCACTTCGGCGCAGCGTTCTCGTGTGTGGGGTCGGGTTAGTATCCGGGCTGAGCAGACCCTGCTTGGAAGATTGTCTTCAATGGTCTACCACTGCACCGTCCGACCATTAACCGCCTTCCAATCTGAGAGTATCCCTGGCCAACACTACCCTTGCCGCTGTGGCCTTGCGGGCAGTGAGACGGGTAAGCGCAGTTTTGTGGATAATTTGGTATTATTACCGCAAAATACTGGCAGTGTTTTGCAATTATCTGTCTCAAATAAATATGCATTTGAGAGAGAGGGGGACTGTTCTTAAGACTTGTCAGTGGTGTCCCCTATGAACCTTCAGCTCTCACTGTAGAGTCTGTAGAGCCGAGTTTGAGCAAATAAGTCCTCACATCGATGATATTCCCAATCGCTTTCGCGTTCTATATCGTCTTTATTTCTCAACATATCCCCCTATTACCATTATCATGAAGCTAACCACGATCAGGTCAGATGGTAGGTTCGGAGCCCTAATCATCGCCAACTCTTGATCATTGAGGAGAGGCCATCCGATGAGTTTACGGAGCGTACCCAGCACCCGATACGGAGATAGTGGATTGGATCATGTCGGTCTCGAATGTTACAAAAAAGGGAGATTTAGATGAATATGCGCACCTCATGTGGTCCCGGTGTCTAGGCCTCGCCTGGCTGGGGCTGCAGGGGTTTTGAGTCTCTTCCCACTTACGCAGTCTCCATTGCTACCATTTTTATTTATTTTGGGTAGAAGGCTCCGTGGAAAAGGTGGCCGAATTCCTCAGGTAAACATTGAGCTGAATGGTGATTCATCACGGGCAAAATATCAATGATCTTTCAAGGAACATGAGAGGCAAGGAGCACTGTACAAGGTGTGACCTGGACTAGAGAAGAGCCTAATGTAATAGATTGTCTATGACTCAAGTAGTACAACAAACACATATCTCTCTCCCTCTCTTTCTCGAGGAAGAAACATCTGGCAAGGTTGAGTGTGTGTTCCAGGTATGAGGTGTCCCTGCGCGGGTAACGCCCGATGAGGAATTGCGTCAAGGTTGGGTCCCGCTACGCACGGATCCGGAGCCAAGTAAGCGATAGCCCGAAGCAGGTAATTTCCTGCAGCATTCCAACCTCGGGGAGGCGGCGAAGGAGGAATAAGGGCACGCGCTACCGCCATCTGCCGATCGAGAGGCTTGACGGACATCAAAGAAGTTATCCAACACCAGTCATGTGTGCAGTTTGCGCTCAGCGGGCCAAAGTCAGGATGATGGAGCGGAAAGACGGAGGTGGATCACGAGGTGCGAACTTCGCCATGAGTCTGCTTTCCATCACCTCACCAGCCTCTACCACTGGAGAAGGAGCTACAAGGGCAGCTCAACTAGCTTCCACCCGGTAGTGTGGAACTGAAAAGGCTCCAGTGCCATCGTCGACAACGTCAACCTTGGGGGAGAGGGGGAGCCGATTGTGCCGCAAGTTGATTCTAGGTAGGTACTCCAGGTTGGTCCATAAATAACAATCAAACACCAAAAATACATACTCATCCACCCCCATATCAAATGAGCTTTTACCTCGCTTAAATGAACGATGTAGACGAATCTCCACTTCTTTCCTATCTCTACCTGGACAAGTCCTAGATTATCCCTCTTTCCCACCGTCTAAGCCCCCAAAGAACCGATTGTGCGCTGCACTGATGAATTGGCTCTACAAATATTTCGATGATGCCCGTCACTTGGAAGCCTAGGAACCTATCCTACTCAGGCTTGGAGATTGCTTCTGGAACCGTGTAAGTCCCGACTCTTTTCCTCATGGTGCTCATGAAGCGGAGGATTGAGGCATTGAAATTTCTTTCCCATGGAAATGTATGTTTAAAGCCATCTGGATCGTGTGGACAAACCGGATTTATGATAACATGTCCAATGGATTCGAGAGTGTTAGATTCAATTCAGCCTAGAAAGCCACTCAATGCACACTTAGGATAACGATCATGTGTCCAGGCTAGAGAGTTGAAGATCGAATTAAAATTCAAGGAAAAGAGAGTCTCCGTTAAACAATAAAAACCCTGATAACACTTCACTTTACCTAGTCCTAGTGGTTTGACCTAATACTTTTCAACCTGCGAAACCTGTAACAAAGTGCCATGATATGGCTGAGGATTTCTTTGTAGATTAACATGCAAGGCAATTGGCACCCTCCGCGATCCTGTGGGTGCTTGGGCACAAGTAGAGCCGGGCTGCATCAGCTTAACTTCCATCAAGTGCAATAATCCTCGACCCACTTGAATGACCGGACCACCGCAGACTTGACCCATGAGTTGAACATGTCAATTCCAACTGTGCAGAGAGCCCGACTTTGACTCACCAAAACGCTAATTCCCCCTCAGATTTCGCCACGACGCACCAGAGTCCTTGACAACTTCCCAGTCTCAAAACTATTGCTTTCTGTCCATTTCCAATCATACTCCATCTCAGTATCTCCTCATTACATCCAGGAGTCTTTTTATCCATCAAAGACTTCCTCCATTATAGCTCCTCAGACCTTCTGTCGTTATTATCTCGGAAACTTTGTAGACTTTCCATCCCTCTGACATTGTCCCGTCGCTGCCGTACCACTAACCGTGGAGGCCGAATGTGATCAAAGTGTTTAAGACCGAGGCACTGATGCCTCAGCTTTTGTCGAATGCTCTAGTTTGTCTGCCGGCCTTATGTCGCACGTATTTTGTCAATGGCGATTCGTCCCAGGTCGAGCTATCGACAAATTTAAGGCCGGTACTTCGACCGTGGCTTCACAGCGCACGACAATTATGAAGGAATGAATGTCCTATTGTATCTTTGATTTCGCGGAAGACCCTAGGATTATGGAAAGTTTCGGTAGGTCGTGTAATGTCTTTGTAGAGGGCTGCGAGAAGAATTAGCTGGGCGAAATCTTCCAGAAAAATCAGAGATCGTAAATGTTTTCAATTGTTTTTGTAAGAACATCAGATAGGGTTCAAGCTGAGTGGTTTATATCTGGAGTGTAGATGATTGAAGTCGTGTTGTGCTGTCGTCAAATCCCCGGAGGTCGGATTTTCGACCAAAAGTTCGCCAACGCCATTCCCCCAATTGCCATCTCAACAAAAACTCTCATGTTTACTCTTTGTCATGGCCGAAGCTCGGCACTGGGTGTTTGTCTTCTGGGATAATTACCATTCGGATGTCCGCACCTCATCACATCCAAGCATTGCGCGAGAACTTTCCGCATTCATGCCCCCTAGTACCTTCGCCACCTAGGCCATGGCCCCGTAATGTGGTCGAATTAATATTGCATAAACGAGCTCGATGCTAGCGCTGCTGCGAAGAAGAGAGATGTATTGAGAACGCTTTCCGGATTAATGCAGGCCCCATTGCGCTGTCTAGGCTTCATCAATGAAGAGAAGGTTTCTGGCTCCTCTTGCATCCTTCGCGGCCGGGGAAAATCTACCGTGGCCCGAATCCACGAGATTAGGACAAGAGATGTTTATCAAGAGTTTGTGGAGACAAAGCTTAAAGCTCAAACAGTCTGGACACAAGGATGGAATCCGGCATTAAGAAAGTGACAGGAGTACGGCATGTCCGGGATATTACTTCGTTGTTTTGGTATGTCAGATTAATAAGTCAAAAAATAGTATCGTTAAACACGACGTATTCTCGTACGAGCTGTCCACATTACGACCAGTCTAGCTACATCAGACTGATATTTGCGAAATGGTGCTGGCTACAGAAATACTGTCTAATTCTGTAAACGGTACGGGCTGAAATTTTTTCACATCACGGCCGAATCGTGATGAAAAACAAATCCACTGAACCTGAATCTCGGAGTATCCAGGCATCGAGACATTTATGGATTCTTCACTATCACGAAGAACATAGGAGGTGTGAATATCAAGCCTCCCGTCATAGTCTTTGTTTCTCACAAGTAGCTTGAATCATCAAAAGATTAACATAACATCACTTCGAGGCTGCCTACAAAGGTCTGACTGGGTACCACCACCACTTCTCGATACAGTATCGCATCACTTACTCGCTATTCAGCCCAGACAAACTTACAAGTAAGGGAGATAGGTCGT